TATATATATATATATATATATATATATATATATATATATATATATATATATATATATATATATTTCTACTCGCTTGCATGCTTGCTACTGAATGCCATGCTGCCTCCTCCCTCTCCGGCCACAGGCCCTCGGGCCGCTGGGCTCAGGCTGCTTGGGGGATGCAAAGGAAATCAGATTCTCTTTGGAAAAAGTTATTTCAAGTATTTTGACAGTATTGTATTCCGCGACAGTCGCTGAATAAGTTCGAGGCCTCTCGCTATATATATGCACCAACAATGAAAATAATTGTTGAATTCTTCCTTTTGTCGCAGTAGCCAGCATGCAAACAAATAGAAATACATGCATTAACCACCAACCAGCTCCATACAGACTGTGTTACGAGCAGCATCCCACCTACTACAGCTGCTGCGGCATGCTGACGCCAACACCAACCAGCTTTCTGCATAGTTTCTTGGTTGTCTCCCTGCAATGAAATACGAGAATAACCTTGGAAATAAAGGATTATAATTATGTTTTTTATTTATTTATTTGTTTGAATACATCTCTCCTGCATGAGAGAAGACGGAAGAGGAATTCTGGCGTCAGATGCTAGCGGGGCTCTGTGCCTTCTGTGGGCGTGGGCTCTTGTCGGTGTCTGGTTGGTTGTGTTGTTTGTGTCTGTCTATACGTGGAAATCCCGTTAAGTTTGGGTAAATACATTATGAAAAATACAAACCTTTTGTTTTAAAACATTGATCAATAGAAAAAGGTGCCTGGCTCTGTGTTGCTACTGCTGAGGGGGTGCCGCCGCGCCACCTCCTGCATAGGAACTGAAGGCGCCCGCAGTGGCCTGGGTGAGTAGCGGGTGCAAGACAGGCTTAGTTTGTTGCATGTATTGATGAAATGAGCTTTAAATTTGTTGTTTTCCTCTCCAAGGATTTCAAGAGGGAGTAGTGGTGGTCTACGGCTCACTGGGGCGCAGCAGCTTTCTCTCTCTCTCTCTCCCTCTCTGTCGCTCTCTCTCCTCTCAGCCTACCAGCCCCCATAGATTTCGGGGTGCCTGGGGCCGCTTGAGCTGCTCCTGCTGCTGCTCTAGCTCGGGCCTTGACCCGAGCATGTCTGCAGCCGTCCACCTGCATTGCTGCTGCCTGTAGATCGCTCTCTGTGCGTCCGGGTTGCTGCTGTCCATACACCCCAACAAACCCACCCGTATCCGCTTATCCGCCCCTTCCGCCTCACTTTATAAATACCGCGTCTGTACTCAGTATGTCACCTCAACACCTCAAACCTTCTCTCCCCCCGGGGGCCCCTGCAGGCCGCTGGCACGGCGGCCGCCATGGGGGGGGCCTCAAGCACCAGGTGTGGAAGCCGCAGACTCCGAAGCAGCACAAGCAGGAGCAGCAGCAGCAGCAGCAGCAACAGCAGCATAAGCAGCAACAACAACAACAACAGCAGCAGCAGCAGAAACGAACGGAAGAGGCTCCTGCTGCAGCAGCTGCAGCAGCAGCATCAACTGAACAACACCCACCAGAGGCAGTGTCTATAGGCGAGCTTGACTTTGGTCCCCCCGCAGATCTTTGCCTGAATGAAGGCGCCTTTCCTCCTCAGTTGCTGCAGCAGACAGTTACTTTGGCCGGCACCACTGCTGCTGCTGCTGCTGCTGCTGCTGCTAAGGCAACACCCAAGCTCCCGCAGCAGCAGCAGCAGCCGAGCTTTTGCTTGCCGCCTCCCGCCGCCGATGAGCGCTGCAGCAGCAGCCCTCAAGGGAAACAACGTGAGCAGATAGCAGACGCGGTGTGGCCCCCTCTGTCCAAGGCAGCAGCTCTAGGGAAGAGGGGGAACAGCCGGGGTTACGCGCACCAGCAGCAGCAGCAACAGCAGCAGCAGCAGCAGCAGCAGCAGCAGCAGACGGCCAAAGAAGCAGCAGACAGTGATGCCTCGTTCGGCTGCGAAGCCTCTCGTTCTGTTAACAGCCCGCCTGCATGCAGGGCCCCTCCATCTTCCCCCGCGTCTGCTGCTCCAGTGGACGCAGAAACGGGTTCGGAGCGTGGTTCAGCAGCAGCAGCAGCAGCTGCAGCAGCAGCAGCAGCTGCTGCTGCTGCAGCAGCAGCAGCAGCAGAAACAGCAGCAGCAGCAGCAGGTGTTCGTGCTCCCCCTGGCCTCAGCGGCCCAGATGTTCAGAGCGCGCTGCTGCGGGCCTCTTTCTTAGGCCGCACAGATATAGTTAAGCTCTGTCTAGAGCGGGGGGCTTCTCCTGCTGCAGCAGATGCTATTGGGCGTACCCCGCTTCACTATGCTGCAGCAACAGGAGTGGCTCAGGCGGTGTCGTTGCTGCTGCAGTATGCAGCCAAGTCAGAAGACAACAACAACCAGCAGCAGCAGCAGCAGCAGCAGCAGAAACAGAAACAGCAGCAGCAGCAGCAGCAGCAAGGGTGTGGGGGTCTTGCTGCTCTCGTTGATATGCCTGATAAGAAACGATGGACGCCGCTGCTGATAGCTGTAACAAAAGAACACGAGCCCTGCGTTCGGCTGCTGCTGCATGCAGGCGCGAACCCCAAGCGTCTGCTGTGTCACCGCTGCGCTCCCTGCAGGGGCCACAGCAGCAACGCAGCAGCAAAAGAAAATACAGAAACCCCAGCTGCTGCTGCTGCTGCTGCTGCTGCTGCTGCAGCGGGGACGGAGACTGCTGCAGCAGATGCTGCAGCAGAAACGAACACGCCGGCAGATAGCCGAGATCCTTCCGCCCATGAAATAACACAGATAGGGGGCAGCAGCAGCGCCCCCAATGACAGCAGCAGCAGCAGCA